CAACAATGTCCATGTTTGATATATTGAGTGCTCTCACCCTATGATGGCGAGAGCCGCAAGTGACTCCAATCCAGTCACAAACTGAAGATTGAGAAGACCAATTTTGGGTTAAGGGATGAGAAGAGTTTAGAGTAACTCTGGATTTTAAGGCAAGAAGAGCTGATTGATCTGTGCTTATGTTTGTGGCTATGCATGCCACTAACAAGTAGAGTAATTGCAAGACAACAGAAAGAATAAAAGAGTTGGCTTTCTCCATGGATACAACTGATGTTTGTAGTATGTAATTAAAACTGTAGATAAAATAAGGAATGAAGTGGTCAGCAATAAATAGGGATAATCTTGAAGCTCACTCCCTTCATGCTATCCAATAGCATACTCATCTTGGTCCATAAAATATCACTTCGTTTATTAAATTTATTAACAAAAGAAACACATAGTGACTTAAAAAATCAAGATGAAGAATATTAATAATCAAGTTTGGCCGAGAAGAGCACACTGATCGGTGGGTTACTATGTAAGATATTGCAGCAACAAATTTTTACAGGTGCACACTTTGGTGAATGGTGATAATTTACCTTTTAAAGTTAGTGGAGATAAAGTTTCCATTTTTCTTCAATATTAGTTAAAAAGTGCACGGTATATTAGTGAATATAAAAATAATTTTTTAATAACATAAGTTTAGATAGAAGAGATAAATTTTTCTTTGCTTGGAGCCAAGACTTCATTCCCTACTAACACATCGTACAAAAAAAGAAATAGAATTATAAAATAAGTTGATACCATAGAAATTGTTTTTTTCTGGCCATAGAAATTGATTTAAAGGAAAAGAAAAATGCTTTTTTTTTTTGGATTGGGTGTCACCCCTTTCAAGAAGGAAGATACGTGTTCAATTTAATTTTAATATTGACTAATTTTAGTGTACGCGCTTTGCGTGAGGCTGTCCAACAGGACGGGCCGGGCCGGTCCGTCCCGAGTCCTGTCTCGGTCTCGTCCCCTCCTGCCCCAAGTTAAACGGGATGGGCCAATGTTAAACGGGACACGGGATGGAATGGGACGACCATTTCGTCCCGTTTATCCCGTCCCATTTCGTCCCATTTTGTCACGTCACGTCACGTCCCGCCTGTCCCGTCCCCCCTGTCCCAGCTGTCCCGCGAGTTTTTATGGTATATTTGTGGAATTTTTGTTGTATTTGGTTAGTATAAAACAAATCCAACTTATGCATCGGCCATTAATAAAATGATTGCAAAATTTAAAAAGTATTTTTTCTCTATTCCCCAAGTTTATTTAATTTCTACAATACTTAATCCATATTTAAAATTAAGAGGTGCAAAGGGACTTGTTCGTAAAATTTATCAAAATTTAGCAATTCAAGAATATGAACAACCATCTCTCGAAGACTTCCAAGCTAACATATATTCTTATGTTAGAATCTAGATCAATGTTTGATAAATATAAATCTATAGAAACAACAAGTGGTGAAACTGCTCCTTCTACTTCTAAGTCTAGAGTAGAAATTCTTATGGGAAGATATTGATGATATAACATGTTTTGATTCCTCTATTGATGATGAACTTGATTCTTAGCACCGGAGAATGCTTTTAGCGCAACAATATTTCAAATCGGAGATCATAGACATTCATTAGCAAAGGATAACCTAGAGATTTCCGTATTATTCAGAGGTTGGATTAATGCAGAAAGAAGAAATCTTGGTTTTGAAAAATTAAACACTAGGGAAGAAGAAAAATACAATGAGATACTTAGCACTGGGACCAATGACGACATGGAGCTCATAGAACATCAATCAACATTCAACACTGCCAATTCCAGAACAATGTCCGAGAGATATTATTGATAAGTTACAAAGAAACTATATAGGAGCTTACAAAAATATTAGTATGATAATTTGTAATTGGCTATTAAGAGGCCTAGTTCAAACAGAACCCTTCCTAGAAGGTGGCTGCGTAGATTAGGTGCTCTTAGTTACTTAATAGTTAATACTTTGAAATTATATTAAATAAATTATAACTCTATTATAAATTTATAATTACTAGAATATTTCACTACAAGTATTTTGTTTTAATATTTTATAATTCTTTACTTAGTTTTCTAATTTTCGTTTTAACATAATAACATTTAAGTTATTAAATAAGTCAAAAATCTAGCCGTTGCAAACTTTAAAAACATAGTAATTTTCAAAAAACTAGATGTTTTTTTAAAAAAATACACTTAAGGCCAACGAGCCTATCCCAACCCGTCCCGTCCCGTTCCGTCCCGTCCCGTCCCGTCTCATCCCGTCCCGTTCCGTACCGTACCGTCTCGTCCCGTTTGTTAGCGGGACGGGATGGGACGACCGTCTCGTCCCGTCTCGTTTCGTCCCGTTAATTTCGTCACGTCCCGTCCCGTTGGACAGTCATACATGTACCCATATCAAATGAATAAATAATTTTCATGAGTCACATAAATATTATTAAACAATATATTTAAGTTATAAAATAAATTAAACATATAAGTTTTTGAAAATGATGAATGTTGATCCATTCAGTTAACTCTACAAAGGAAAAAATCATGCTCCACATATTAATATTGAGCCTTTTGGTCGTTGAGAGACTTGAAAATGAAAGGCTGGCCATTAGGGGTGTACATGGACAGGTTGATTTGGCTTTTATCAAAACCAAACCAAATTGACTATATCGGTTGGATTGGTTCGGTTTGGTCGGGTTTTTCGGGTTAACGGGTTTTTTTGTTACATGAATATTATTTCAATCTTACTTTGTTAAAATTATAGATAAAGCTTCGATAAGTGAATATATGTTTAGTAAATATGAAAAAAATTGACAGACATATGATCTATTAAAATATTCTAATGGAAGAATTATTTTAGTAACACATGATAGTTATTTTCTTAGTCGTTTAACAATAATTTTTCGTTAATTTATGCTTTCAAGGTTAATACATTAGAGGATCCCAAATATTTCTACATTTTCTAAAGAAAATTCACTATAGTGTCTTAAAATATAAATAAAATTTATATATTTATATGTCGGTTTGGTTCGGGTTTTTTAACTCAATACCAAACCAAGTCAAACCAAACCTAGTCGGGTTTTTTAATCGGTATGATTTGGTTTTTCGATTTGGTGCGGTTTTTCGGTTCGGTTTGAACACCCCTACTGACCATATAGCTCCTAGAAAAAAAATGGCAATAAGTCTAAAAATGACAAATGTTGTATTAATATTTTACAACAAATAAATTTAAAAATAAGAAAATATAAGGAGTTGTTATTTATTAAAATAAATGTAAAAATAAAGAAAATAATTAATTTCAACTCATAAGTACATTTTTTTTTACTATTTCATTCTTATTGTTTCAAGTTCGTATTTTAATTACCAATTTAACTTTAATTAATACTATATTATAGAAAGTTTTTGCTCTATTTTCAGTAATTAAAAATTAGTACAAGATTCAAAAATTAAAATATTTGAGAAGTATCTGATTATGTTAATATAAATCAGTACAAGATTTAGAAATTAAAATATTTCAAAAGTATTTGCTATTTTATCTGTAGTAGAGTTGATTTAATTACCTGGCCATTAAAAATATAAGTAATTATATTACTTTATGAAACGGCGGATTTGGTGTGCTGGCGTCGTTACCTTGTTTGTTTCCCTCATATTATCCTTCCTTATTATTAAATAATCATATTTTATCCATTACTCTACTTTTTATATAGTAATAATTCTACTCTATATCCTATTTTTCTTAGTAATGTTGCTAGTTTATTCTCCATATTGTTGGTGTGTGACATCAAGAATTTATCCAAACGTTATATTTATCAAACAATCTATATCTATACTATATTAAAAGCACGACGGCCCTTAGTGAAATGTCGTTCGCCTTTTTTGTCCTTTAGAAATAGATTTCACATTAGACAAATCGTAATTTAATTACTTCCTAACATTTAGGAATAGTACTTTAATTATTTTACTATTATTTAGGAATAATTATTTAATTATTTTTGTATTTGAGTTACGTGGAAAAATATAGTATTTAGGACTTTATACATAAATTTTTCCCCTTATTTGACTATCCATAATAACTATAATTCCTTTTATATTAATTTTTCATAATATTAGGACTTTAAATCAACTTTTACAATTTAGTTTATTAAATTCTTTTGCAAATTGATTATCCACTTCAAGATTGTTTCTTTTTTCTTTTCTAAACCTTCACGGTTGGCTACTTGCATCACTCACGATTATTTTTGTTGTTTGTTCTTTTGCAAAATTTTAGGACTTGCGTCTTCCTTGTTTTATTTTTTATATTTTTAATTAAATAAAAAAAGACTATTTACTTGTTATTCGCACAGTTTGGTTGCAAATTAATTATTTATATTATTTGTGCATTCTCGAGTAGAATGGCAGAGTTTTCCCTGATATGTATTTAGAATTTTAAATCAATAAAATTTTGTGCAATAAATTCTTCCTTATTTGAGATATATAAAGAATTAATAAGAACGACAAAATCCACAAAGAATAAATAAAAACTAACTGTTACTTAAGTTAGTAATTATATCAGTCGAGCACTCCTTTGATGTTCAAAGATATTTAGATTCTCAAACTATATGCCTTTTGCTTTGTAATATATAGTATATTGAAATCTTTTTAAAATATTATTATTAGTGCTAACATCTTAAAATTGTTGCAATATTACTTAAGCAAAAATACAAAAGTGAATCTGCATATTTTGAAAGGAAAAAAAAAAAACTTTTTTGGAACTTTAATACTTGAAGAAAAAGTTGAGAAAAAATTAATAGTAAGAGGAAAAGATGCTATAAAAAAATTAATTTTGGACAAGGGTCGGAAATTTAAATTTGGAGATCTCATCTATTCTTTAAAGTATGGTTGAGAGATAGGTGACAAGCTCAATACAAATCAAAGTTAGACTACATCCTTTTGTGAATGACTATAATAGTTCCTTCGTTGATCTGACTGACCATTGATAAACATTAATCAATTTTAAGAACTTATACTTTTTTTAGTTTTTTATTCATAACTTAATTATATTATTTAATAATATTTATCTAAATTTTTTAATTATATACTCATTGATATAATGCAGTACAATACAATATAATACATTATGAAAACAACCTTCCAAACAAGCTTTAAGTCAAAACACACATTCTTTCTCTTCTCCATCTCAGAGAAGAACCCAAAGCCTTTCTAGACTTAGAAAGATCGTTCAAGTATCAAAACCTG